CAGGGTCTCCAAGGCTGTCAGTCTTCACAGAAGCCTCGTGTCTCACCTTTCTCCCACAGTGGCTGGTGGGTTCGAATGGTGGACGTTTCTGTTAGTAGCCTAGCACTTAACCACTGCACCACTGGGATCTTCACACACTGATTATCATGGCTAAAATCCTAATGCTGATACCGCCAAATGGTAGCAAGTTGTGGAGTAACAGAAACTCTCATTCACTGTGGTGGAGATGCAAAATGGCAGTTACTTTGGAAGACAACCTAGCAGTTTCTTTCCAACGTAAGCAAATTCTGACCCTACAATCCAAATCCAGCTCCTAGGTATCTACCAAAGTTATCTGAAAACGTATGTCCGCACAGAAAGCTGAACATGCATGTTTATAGCAGCTTATTCGTAAGTGATAAAACCTGGAAGGATCCAAGACATCCTTCAATAGGTGACTGGATTGGTTAACTGTGGTAACCCATATAACGCAGTACTATCCAGTGATAAAAAGAACAGGGTGATCCAGCCACGAGAAGAAATGAAGGTTCCGAAATGCATGCTGCGAAGTGACAGGAGAGGCTCCATGGTCTGATTCCATTCCTATGGGGCTCTGGGAAAGATCAAACTACACACACAATAATATGGTCCATGATTGCCAAGGGTTCCAGAGGAAAGACAAGCAATGAACAGGTGAAGCACCAGACATTTTTAATCCAGTAAGAATATGCTCTATGACACTACAGGAGTGGACGCGTGACACCGTGTGTTTATGTAAGCCCACAGAACACTGAGGGCCTGGAAATCTGCTCCCATAACATATGATGGCTAAGAGGACCCTATGGGGAAGTTCCACTCTGCAGCACCAGCACTGGGATCAACGTGATGGCAACAGGTCTGATTTTTTTGGTACATGGCATTGTACAACACAAGGAGAGAACCATAATATATGTAAATTACAGAAAACAACTTTGGGGGACTGACTGTTAGATGCACAACCATCTGCTTTGCCATCAGACCAGAACTGGATGGTGATAGCCACCATCACCAAACGTTTTCATCAAAGGACAGATAAAAGAACCTTGATCAAAAGGGGGAAATTGAGGAGCAGAATTTCAAATTTTCATGAGCCAGACTTTCTGAGAGGCCAGATGAACCCCTGCTCTGAGAAACTTATTGCTCTGAGAAAATCTTCAAACCTTAAGCAAAATATCCCCTGAAATCTTCTTAAAATCAAGCAATGCTTTGGCTTCACTAACAAAGATGGTCTGCCTTGAGTATCATCCTCTTTGAAGAACTATCTTTATGAGATCACACTGACAACACCACTCGGAACGTCAGATGGGAAGCTTAGGGGCAGTAAGTTTATGCTAAGTCAGGAATAAAACGGTTTATTCCAGGGCAAGAAACAGACAAGATGCGCCTGGAACATTAGATAGCACCAGAAAGCAAAGGAAAAGGGGGCTGAGAATGGCTGTGCAGCTTGGAGAACGTAATCCTGTCACTAAACTGTAGGCGCAGAAATTGCAGAACTGCAGCATGCTTTGCTGTGTACACCCTCAACAACAGTGAAAGCAAAAAGATAATTTAAGACCGCGAGGATGCCGGGATCAATACAGACAGCGAGAAGGGAACCTAACTGTATTACAAACACACACAACAACCTCCCTGGAGGGGTGGAAGGGAGCTGACTGACCCAAGTACCTTGGGCGTCAGGGGCATCTGAGAGGATAAAGGCAAAGGAGCCACACACAAGCTCTGCTGCTCTTGTCGGGCTGCTGAGTCTATTCCGACTGATGGCGGCCCCGTGCACGGCAGGACCAAAGGCTGCCCCGGCGGCGCTGGCCTCACAGCTGTTGCCACGTTTGCGCCACTGTCGCAGCCACTGTGTCAGTCCATCTCGTTGAGGGTCTTCCTCTTCTGGGGTCACCCTCCACTTCACCAAGCATGATGTCCTTCTCCGGGGACTGGTCCCTCCCTCACCTCTAAGGAACATTGTGGCCGTACTTCTTCCGAGACAGGTAAGTCCGTTCCATCCCATCATGTGGGATCCTGCCACAGGCGAAGGGTAGGCAGAAAATCTCCCAGAATCAGAATCAAGCATGGGCTTTGGTCAGGAATAAGGCACCGATATTGGTCTGTTGGTTGTGACAATGCACCGTGCTAACGCACGACGTTAACAGCAGGGGCCGGGTGCAGGGATATGGGCCTTTCTACCACGTTAAATCTATAATTGCTTTAAGCAATGGAATCTACTTAAAACATCCGTGAAAAAGTCATAGTGAAAGAGTTGCCTTCTAGAACGAAGCAGTGAACCGTGTGGCAGATCTTTATGGTGCGTGGGCCAGCATCTAACACAGGACAACGGGGTGCGTCCGGTTCCCTCGCCAGCTCCTGCACACCTGTCTCTGGCTTTCAGACGGGTGTGCTGAGCCCTGGGGCTTCAGCCTCACCCCAGCTCCCTTCACCTACACACCTGGCTACCGTGCCTTCTAGTCACCGTCCCAGGGAGATGAATTGACAGTGGACCCACAGAAGGAAAGGGGAGTGCCCTGGCTGCACAGGAGCAGGTGAAAGGCACGAAGCCCTCTGTCAGAGGTGACAACTGCAGGTGTGTCTCTCTCCCCAACCCCAACTGCTGTGGGACAGGACCCTGGCACAGGGCTGGGCTCCCACCACACACTACAACCACAAACACGCTGAGAGGACACGGCCCGAGCCAACACCGTTCACAAGAGACTCACCCAATTAGCAGAGGCCGTCTGTGAGAGCCTGGGAATGAGGGTCCTGCCTATGTGCAGCCAACAGGTGACCCCAGGCAGCCTGGGATGAAGGCAGGCCCTGACGCAAAGCAGTGGACCCTGGAGCTCACACCAGGGCTCTCGCACACCTGCCGACAGGCCTCACGTGAGCCAACCCCCACACCACTGGGCAATGGGGGGACTGCCATCATCAGCGGCAGCCCGCACCCACAGATGTTGCTGTGTCTCCCGCTTATGGAAAAGCACGAAGAAAGTGCCTGGGGGGAGCTGAGCTGCAAAGCCCCTTGGGAATTCAAGAAGGCCCTGGGTCCCTGCTCTCAACCCCAGCGGGGGCGAGGGCAGGGCAGTCAGCTTGTCTCTCACAGTGACCCTGGGGGTGTGTATCCTGCTTCCCCTTTGATAGATGAGTCCCTGAAGCTCAGCAAGGTGGCCCAGAGTGGCACAACCGATGCCAAGCAGGTGACGCTCAGTACCCACTCTCATCAGGTGGATTCCAACTCAGAGGGAACCCCCAGTGCATGCTGGGTGAAAAGGCAGAGGGCCAGGGCTCAAGTCCACAGGATCCCAAGAATGCCGGTGGAGGGAACAGAGACCCAGCCCTCGGAGGTCAGAGCCAGCGTCCCTGGTAACACTGGTGCGAAGGGACAGCAGGGTACAGAGGGCAGGGACTGACAGGTGGAGCAGGGAGCCAAGTCCCCAGTCTTGTGCGCTAACCTGGAGACCACAGTAAACTGTCCCCAGCAAAACGAAGAACAAAGAGAAAAAGGATAGACCCTGCCTCCCCTGAGGCAGCCGCAGCACGACCAAGAGATCAAAGTCTGCCCTGATCTGTGAACTTCAGGAAGGTCCAGGCCACCCGGGAGATAGTGAGGTCCAGGACACGGACACACACGGGAGATGAAGGCACATGCCCAGGCTCACCGGAAGTGCAGCAGACGGGCCAAGCCATCAGAGACACTGTGGTAGCCTTGCAGGTGAGGAGGGATCAGCTCACCACGCAGTGGGCAGGGGGCACCCAGACGCACCTTCTGGAATCAGTGTGGGGCACAGGTCCCTGCCCCCCTCACCCCAACGCTGCTGCTCACAGGAGGAAGCCACAGTGGCAGTGCCCAGCACACAGCAGCAGGGATGGCCATGTGGTCACTCAGGCCTCAGCTTCCTGCCCTCCTCTTCCTCTCAGGGATCTTAGCTGCCCCGTGGGGATGGACAGACAGGAGAGACTGACCACTTCATTAGGGAAACGGCAACCTTGGCGGTCTTAGGCCCAGGCGTCCAGCACGCTCTTGGGGAAGCCTGTGTGTCTGCTGCAGGACGGAATCAGGCCTCCTGAGCTCTGGCAAGATGCAGAGGGAGGAGAGAGTACCAAGTCCAGGACAAGAGTGAACTGTGAACAAGACACAGGGAGGTGGTAGAGCCTTACCAAGCCCCCGACGCTGGGGCTAGCCACCCTGAGCCGGCCCACACAGGGCTGTCTCCTCTCCTGTGAGTCTGGCCACCACATTTCCACAGGGGTCCGGAAGTGGCCGCCGCCGCAGGAAACGCACTGGCAAGGGTGAGGGTGGTGCAGGGCCCCTGCGCCCTACGGGTCTGCAAGTCCAGGGACAGCAGGGAGCCCACCTGGCCAGAGGCGGCCTCTACACAGCACACAGATGTGCAGAACAGGCCCAGGCGGCCTCCCACCCTGCGTGTGTGTGGCCCAGACTCGGAGGCCGGAGGGCAGGCTGAGGATGCAGGGCTGAGGGCTCTCCCAGTGGAGGCACTGGGCACCCTGGATCCTGAGGCCCTGGCTCAGAGCTGGATGCCAGGGCAGACCCCTGCCCAGGAGACCACCGCATCCTTGTTTGTGAGGCCAGGGTCTGCCCAGGCTCTTCAGGGTCCTGTGACAGTGGGGTCCTATTAGCTGGGGTTGGCCCTTTCCTGAATGAAAAGCAGTGACCTTGTTACCTGGATGACCTTCCAAGACCTGCCTTCGTGAGGACAAGGCCCTGAGCCGCCAGGCAGGCCTACACCAGGCAGCAGTGGGGCACTACTGACCGTGACTATGTTTAGTAGTAAAATCGACTTTCATTGCTGTGTTTTAAACATTAGGGCCCTGAGGCCTGACAGAGGTAACTGCCATTGGAGAGTCAAACAGCAACTGGGTTTATCCATTCCACAAACAGTTTCTTAACGACATTGGGTGGTCCATGCTCATGAAAAGCTACGAGGTACAGTGATGTGAGCCACCTGAAGACCCCAGACTCACCAGGCCTTCACTCCACACCTGCGTCTCCAAGGTTCACCTAGGAGCTGGAAGACACCACTGTGATGGCCCACCAGGCTCAGGCGCCAGGACGGGGGTCTGGGCAGAGGGCTCCTGGGATCAGGAGGCAATGAGAGTCGAGAAGAGGGGAAAAGCTTCAGGGAGCTACGTACAGGTACCCCTCAGACGTCCAAGAAGATTCTAGAAGCACCACCAACACCCCAGAAAAGCCCTGGTGGCCTTGCTCTCCTCGCTGTCCCTGAGATCCCCTCCATGGCTGTGGGCAGGGCTGGGCTGCTGATTACCAATGAAGAACACACAGCCACACCGACCAATTACCCACACCGGCAAAGCCATCCAGGGCACTTTTATGAGCAAGTAAATCCAGGCTCGTTCCTATAAAGTATTTATGAGTATCTTGTTTCAAAACTGCACATGTGGCCTTTTCTAATTCAATATATCCTGCAAAAGTAAATATGAAGACGCAGAGGGGGCAGCGCCGGGCACGGCCAGTGGAATGAATCCAGAGCGTGACCCACTGGCTGCGGGCCACCAGGGCGCACCTCAGCGCTGGCAAGCACTGGGTGCCACTCACACGCAGACAGAGGCCCCCGGCAGCCCCCTGCGAAGCTCTGGGAATGGCCACCTTCTGGCCTCCCACGGCCCTGAGCACCCAGATGAGGCATTCTCCCTGAGATGACTTCTTGAGTCCGAAACCCTGCTGCTCCTGCTGCTGGGGATCAGTCCTCACACAGGCCACAGAGCCAGACTCCCTGGGTTCAAACCCTGGCTCTGCTACTCTCTGGCTGCCTCAGTTTCCCCATCTGGAAAACAGGCATAAAAATAACAGCTCTGGGACAGGGCCGCCATGGGGCTTCGCTGAGGCCAGCCGCAGCCCTGCTGGCACACTTGGCTGCTAGCCTAAAGGCTGCAGCTGGACCCAGCAGTGGCTCAGTGGGCAAAGACCTGGCAACCTGCTCCCACGATGATCACAGCATAGGACGCCCTGCGGCCCAGGGTCTGCTCTGTCCCATGGGGTCACCAGGAGTCAGAATTGACTCGATGGCCCCCAAAAGCCACTACCACCGCCACTCACAAGTGCTCAGAATAGGGTGCTCCACCCCTGTGCTTGGTCAACATAGCACAGGGCGCCTCTCAGTGGGGGTGTCAGGGAAGGGGATGACCTCCGGCACTATCCTTTAAAACAGCCCAACACCAAGTCCACTACGGTAAGATTCACAATCATCAAAGGTGGAGACAACCCAGTGCCCGTCCCCCGATGGATGGATAAGCATGTGGTCCACGTACACGTGGCATACGACTCCACCAAAGAAGAATGAGCTTCAGATACCCGCCACCACATGGATGAACCCTGACAACATGCTGCTGAGTGAAAGAAGTCAGTGGCAAGAGGAGGAAGTCTGCATGTTCCATTCATGCAACATTTAGATTAGGCCAACGCAGAGGGAACCAAGCTGGTTCGTGGGCACAGGACCAGGAGAGGGGTCCTACGGCCCGAGGAGCACAGAGGCTCTGCTGAGGCGAGGCCGACGTCTGGCAAAGGAGAATGGCGGTGCCGGCACAGCCCCTTCCTCGCACGGCGCCACCCTCCTGCTTCTGTGCCTGCCATCTCCACTGGCTCCTCCGGTCCTCTCGCTTTGCCCTTACAAGGACTCTCGGAACTACATTTAGGATCCACACAGGTAACCCAGGGTGCTCTGCCTGTCTCTAGATCCTTAGCTTACTCACATCTGTAAAGTAACAGTAACAGGCTTCAGGGATTAAGATGTGACTACCTTTTGGGGACATTATTCAGCCCAGCCTAGTCCTCTTTGCATCCCTCAAATGTCCATCTCATATACAAAGCACATTCACCTCATCCTAATAGCGCCCCCCAAATCTCAGCCCCTTCCAGAATTAACTCAAGTCCCAAATCTCCTGTATCATCAGCTCAGAAGTGCAAAATATCACCAACTAAGTTAGGAATATGGGGAAGATTGTATGTAATCTAACTCAGGGCAAGATTCTCTACCTCTATGGACCTGTGGAACCTAAAATACAAGTTATCTGCTCCCAAAATATAAGGGTGGGACAAGAGTAGGAGGTCAATTTCAGATGTTACTGTTCCAAAAGGGAAAAAAATGGAATGGAGAAAGGAGTCAGTGGCCAAAAGCAATTTTGAAGTTCAGCAGAGAAAATTCCAGAAGGTTTGTTGCTGAGTCGTTTCATTAGCTTATTTCCTGCCTATGTAATTTTGGGAGTATGACAGCCTTCTTTCATTCCATCTTCTCTCCTTCCCTTTCAGGCTAAGCTGATAGTGTTTCTGCTGATATACCATTCTCAAAAACATTGTGGGTCTCCCATGTATGCAAGCCTTTTAAGTCATGGTGTTGGCAGAGAATATTGAAAGTACCATGGACTACTGAAGAACTGACAAATCTGTCCTGGAAGAAGCGCAGCTGGAATGCTCCTTGGAAGTGAGAATGGCCAGACTTTGTCTCACCTACTTGGATCATGTAAAGTGGAGGGTCAGCAAAAAAGGGGAAGACCCCCAGTGAGATGGACTGACACAGTGACTGCAACGATGGGTTTGGGTAGAACAAATACTGTGAGGTTGCTGTGTGAACAGGCAGTGTTTTGTTCTGTTGTACATAGGATCCCTATGAGTGAGAGATGATGCAACAGCACCTAACAACAGTAACAGTATACATGTCATGAGGATTCACCTCATTAGACAACATTAGATCCCTCATTAGATCCCTCTACAATCTTCCCCAGATAACCCAATCTTTGTTTTTAGCTTTTAATGAGATGGCTGGGGAAATTCATGAGTTGCATGACTAATTTCTGCAAAGAGCCCTCTGTGGGACTAAACACCTTGACATTTCGATCTTTCCAAGGCTCTAGCAAGGAAACACACTTCCCTGACCGTGAATCTCCTAATCATATAGCGTCTTTTGAATCTGAACAGACTGAGAATTTTCCAAGCCATTAAGTCCTGGTTCTTTTTTTAACAGTTCTTCCCTGAATTCATCTTTTTCCTCTTCCACTTTATTTTAAGCAGCAAAAAGGAACCAAGCCATGTCTTGAACACCTCACTTGGAAATCTCCTCAGCTAAATAATTAAATTTCTCACAATGCCTGCTTTCCGCAGAACTGCAGAAAGAATTCAGCTAACCTTCCAGCAACCACATTAAAAGGACTGCCTTTCCTCCGGTTTCCAATTGCATGTGCATCCATTCTGAACTCTCTGCAGCAGAGTGAATAACACCCGCCTTGCCACCAGCAGTCTCTCCGTGGTGAGGAAAGTGCTCCCAAAGACCACTGATGTTTTCTACAATGCTCCTCACTGTCTTCTGAGCCCTCACCAGCCGAGTCCTAAACAACCATGTTTCTAGTAAGAAAGTGTTCACAGAAATGTAGGTATTTTTCTATCACATGCCCAAAAATTCTTCCAGCTTCTTGTTGCTATCAAATGTCAAAGACACTTCCACTTTTGTGGGCATTTGTTACAGTATTACCCCCTTCCAGGTACCAAAACCCATATTAGCTTCCCATTGCTACTGCCCCAGATCACCACAAAGCAGATGGCTTCGAACAGCATGAGTTCATTCTCTACAGTTCTGGAAGCCCAAAGCCCAAAATCAGTTTCACTAGACTGAAGGAAAGGGCAGGCTCCTTCTAGAGGTTCCGTGTAAGAATTTCTTCTCCATGTCTATTTCTGCTTCCAGTGGCCACCTATACCCCTCAGCTTGTAGCCCCTTATTGCATCCTCAAACTGCATGACTCCCATCTCCCCATCTGTCATCACACTGCCCTTTCCTCCTCTCCAGTCCAATGTCCCCCTGCTCCTCTTACAGGAATACTTGTGGTTCCACCTGGGTCAGCCACAATCAGCTTTGCATCTTGGGATCCTGAACGTAATCATATGTGTAAGTAAGATTACACGCACAGGTTCTGGGGGTTGGGACATCGGCATCTTTGGAAAGGGGTGGCATTACACAAGCAGTAACGTCCTGTGTCTGTGCAGCATGTCATCCTAAGTGACTGAAGACAGACCACAGGAATCTAGGCTTCCAGCAGTAACATCCCTTTTTTTCCCCCTAGCAAAACAACCAACCTGACCTGACTAGAGACGAGGTCAGGAACCTTAGGCATCACACTCTGTACCCCTCAAACAAAGTGCTCAAAGCCCTATGGGGCCCAGGTCCCGAGCACAGAGACCCCTGGAATGTGACACAGCATGCCTCTGCCTTGTCCTCCAGGCCACCCAAGGTGATAAGAAGTGCATGCCACCCTTC